CATAGTCGTGCCAACATTATTATCATCATTGCTGCTATTTAATTTTTCAAGTTCAAGAGCGGGTTCAGTTTTAGCTAATTTACGGCAAAAAAAAGTTAGAAAACATGTTATTTTACCTATGCAAAACACAAACTACTGACACAGTTCGCTTAAAAGGATCTGGTAAAATAATATATAACGACGTTCTAGACCTAATGCTCGGAATTGTTTACTTAACTGGTTTCTCAAGAAGATTGAAAAAACCGAGAAGCGGCGCGTTGGAGTAACGCACAGCGGGAGTCCAGCTCTTCGCGCATACACCTGCGCTTGCCATAACGCTAATTTTAGGGAAAAATTCCGCTTGCCTCTAGTGAGTCGCGAGCTTCTAAGTTGGACTAAGCAGGATAACTTCAGTATAATATGAGTGGAGCTCTTCAGGGCGATGCGGTACGTTTACACTAATACAATGGAAGACTACATCTAGAGTTGATACATCTAATAAAATAATAATATCTATTGTTCAACAATGGAGCTCTTAATAGAATAGAAAGCTTTGTATTGCAAGTAGTGGGCCCGGCGCATGCCCTAAAGCTCATTGCAAGTTTAAAAAGAACGCAGACGTAATGAACTATTATGAACATCTCATTGTGATTCTCGAACTATCGATCTATATGCCTGTATCTAAACGTAGCTTTATGTATTTTTCAAGGCAGTACGCCTGTGATCAGCATCATTGTGAGGAGCGGTTTGTCCTTAAAGGTGACTGTATAACATTCGACTGGTATCCATCCGTTGCTGGAATTCGTGCTTTCTTCGAATATATGTTAGTCATGCATACGCGTTTCTAAGTAATACCCGATCGATTCGGATGCCCTCAGAGTGAGATCACTTTGCAGCAGTAAGACAATCAATCATTGCAAAGGGGTTTATTAAAAGCATTATTTACTAACATCTGCCAAGGGCATAAATAACTAACGGTTGGATGGGCGAATTAATCAACACCTACCGAAGGCGGATTTTGTCACACAACCGAGGCTGTACCTTCTGCTGTTTCTATAATCAGTGTGACCGTTTATTCTATAGTGGCAGTAAGAGATCTCTTCAACATTGGCTCGACGGATGCCGGCATTCAAAGCAAGAACGGCAACACCCGTCGACATCTTGCGATTAAAGCCGCATATAGAGAAATCATTATTTCTAATGCCTAGAATCGTTCATGTAGAACTACAAGGGCTCGACTTCGGCCAAGGAGATAGAAACCGACGAAATACCTAATAACTAATTAACCTTTTAAACTATAATTAATCTTTATGTTTTGAAAGGAGACGGACAGCGTCAAGCTTCTATTTATTCGTTTATTGCGTCATTTTATAAATATTATATTTTAATGGTCGTAAAGTATGAAATGAAACCATGACAGGGTTAGCAATGCCTGTTACTAGATATAGAAATAGAATGCCAACCATACCCCTTTGTGATATAATCGATTACTTGTAAAAAAGTACCAACCGGTCGAATGCAGCAGGGAATGGGTCTAATATAAATTTTAGTAGCTCCATTGCGCTCATCAGACCAGCGTCGAACTCACAGTACACTACCAGCTGTCAGCGTATTAACTCTGTACGTATTTAGGCTTCCGTTTGCCTAATGAAAAGCTCTGGATAAACCAAGGCCGCTTCATCTTCGCTTCAAAAGACTACGATGATGCAAAAAGTTAACAAGGTCAGCTGTGATGACGTACGTAGCAGACTGAACGAAGGCTACATATATATATGTATAATTTCGAAATAGATATAATACAAAATAGCCATAGCGCACTAACTCGTGACCAAGTAACTAGCAGTATGTGAAAAAAATTACAAAATAATTATATCTGCAAACATGTTTGAACACATAACTATATATATATATATATATATATACCGATAATGCGGAATCAAAAAGTAAAGTTGTCAAAAATCAATTTTCTAGTAGTTAAATCCTAGCTTTCGTCCTACTAATTGCATAATTCTGCTACAGCATATATTACAATACTGTTTTCTTCAAACACCACATTTTCAACATCTGTAGTCGCTTCATCAAAACAAATTAAAACAATGTAACAGGTGAATCTAAGCTACATACATCTATGAACAACTTAAAGGCTCTTTGGCGTTGCCGTAAAGACATTTTGATCAAATTGCTTCTAAATAATCTTCCATCCAACATGGCTCTATGCTCGTATGAGAAAATCATTTTCTATTTCTGAGCTCGATTTGTTTGCATTTGTGACATGTACATGCCCACCGCAACTGGATTAAGCTCGAATACCGTTATTAGTCTATCCTACTAAAATAACACACAGTAAAGGTACTGACAGTAGCAATGGGTCTCACAGAACTAGAACGCTGGCACTGCAACCACATCGAGAGGCACAAGCACCGAAAAAGAAAAACGACATATTACAATTACATAAGCGAAAAGACAATCTTTCTAACAGCATACATGTACGCACATATAAAATCCCGCAGGTGTCGATCAATTTCATACTCGCTTGCCGTTTTCTTCGAAGATTTTGCCTCTGCGTATATACACAGGGTATAGAAAATGGTCATCGTTCTTCAATGCTTGGCAATACATTACGGTACGTGAACGCTGCCCAAACCATCCGTACGGGCACAGCACATCGATTTAGTATCTATCTAGAAAGCCATTGTATGGCAAAATATAGGGGAATGACCGCCACAGCGGACTAATCACACTCGATCAGTGTATGTTTTTCGTATACGATCTAGACCCTTTGCGTTCCAGACATCTACCTGTCAGTGGGTAATACTCACGAATGAAAGAGATTATGATAAACTACCAATAATCAATATGATTTCGGGCTGTGGTTCGTTAAGTGTAGATGTGGGGGGTTATTGTCGACGGGTAATTTGAAGAAAACCCATTACTACAGAAACAATATTAGCAACACGTTCTAGACTAACAACTCGATTCTACCCACAGGCGTATTCCGCGTTTGTCACTGCTTCTTACCACATCTAAGTGGCAGGACAAGCAGCCGTACGTAAGAAACGAGACGATCACGAGAGTTCCGAACGATTTCTATAATGCTGCAAACTTTGTTGCTACGGGAACGATACGCGGTGACCGTTTTCGCGAAGCAAGTACACCATTCAGTCGCACGTTGGAGTTAACCACGTGCGCTTAGGAGTAGACCTTACTACCGACGGATCGCGTATAGTTTTTTTATTCAATGCAACTATATGGTAGTTAACAATCGGACTAACATCCGTTGCGTACCTAGGTAGTGAAATTGATAGGACGACCTTCCTCTTCTTATCTTTGTTGTACGATAGACAAAGCTAAGTTACATGCAGTCAGTACGTAAAGCATCGAATCTACAACAAATAACTATCTACGAATTGCGCTCAGCAGGCCGCGGCGGACAGGCATTGTTTAGATAAATCATATATATGTTACAGAAAAACGGGCACTTCAGACCAGCGACGTTCTTTCACTCTAGCGTCGACTCTGCTTCCTCCCGCGCTTTGTTTGTTTAGTTTTCTAGATGTCACGCCTAAGAGTTATCTTCTAAAGTAGCGTGATGGCTGAAAGCCGTTTTCGTAACGTGTCCTTTCCCTTTCAGCGGGAGCGGCGGCGGCCTGTATATCCTAGTTAGAGGGACAAGAGGTGCATCAGCCAGTAAATCGTTACGTCCGCAGTATGGTATAGTAAAAGTTCGCAGACTCAACTATACTGCTATTATCGTCTCTTTCGTTGCTGCGACCGCCGCGTCTCTGTTGTTGCCGATAGATTACCACCTCATAGGCAGGTGTAGCAACAGCAAAACTAGCCGAAGTCCCGGAACCGGACTTGCATCGTTTTCTTTACCGAAACACTATTGTCATCATCTAGTTGTTGTTGTTGTTGTTGTTGTCACGGGATAGAGGCTCTGCTCCAGTAGCGGGCTCATTTTCCAGCTGCTTATTTCGGTCTAACATCAACGACCTTTGCACGATTCCATTACATGGGTACATCAGCTGCGAAGTGTACACTTACTCCTAATATATTTTTCCCGTTAAGAACGATCGTAGCGCTAGCGAGAGCTATTTTAAGCAGACTATTGTTATTTGTGAGTTTAGCAAAATCGCTTTTTTTACATTTGAGCGTAGCAAACATGAGACTATAGCATCTCGCAGAGTTTAACGCCAGTAATATAATCAGCTTGACGACTGTGTTCAACGGCGACCATCGTAACGTTTTAACCTAAACAAAGTAATTTTTCAAACCACAGTACACAGATATAGGTGTTCTGAGGTCAGGCCACATAGAAAGAAGATCGTCTACCGCAGTAAATTTCGTTTACCTTCTGAGATTAGTTCATAACTGACAATTCTGAAAATGAAATGAAATTTTTTGTTCAGCATCTGAAATAGCACGAAGTGACCTTCGGCGCCCCATTATTGGTTTAATTTCCAAAACAAACCGGTTATATTGGTATTACCACCAGTCGTAGGACTAATGACAAACTGTCCGCTTTGTGCTCGATGCGGATGAGCTTAAGAAAAACCCCGAATGACACTCAACAACTATTCCTTTCCAGGATGCAGCTTCATAATGTTACGGTGCACAATGACAAAACATTTCCATTCTGTAAAAGATCATTGATAAAAACACAGCTTTCCAATATTAAATATAGTTAAACGGGCCCTGTTTTAGATCTGAATCTATGAATTGTGACTTAGTCTGAGTTAGGCCTCAAACGTTTGTAGGGTTTAGCTGAAGTGTTAGATTGGTATAAACGTGCGCGCGGCTTCATTGTAATGTTGTACAATAGAATACATATTAACACGATTAATTGATACGATGATGCTGGCTACATTTATTTATCCTACTTGCATGAAGGTACTGGGCCTTATTCGGATAGTCCTTGTACCAAAATGTCTCACTAATGTGGATTACCTAACGGACTCGAAGGGGTCCGCGGCTATCTATAGTTGTTGCTCTGTGTGTATTAATTCTATCTGTCAGTTTCGCCGCGCGACTACCGTTGGCTGTGATAGCAGTAGCATTTTTAAGCCGCAAAGTCTATTGGGTTGACGATTCAGCCAACAATCGACAGACGAGTTCAAAGAACGCCGACGTCACCGCTTCTACCATTGCCCGTTCAAACGCTAGGCAAAGCCAATACAGGCGCCAGGTAACACGTGGGCCAAGCTCCACTTGCTACTTATCCGGCCCGTACCACTGTCGCTACGATACAACAACCTGAGTGAATAACTACGTTTGTGGAAGCTTCTTACGTACAATCGACTGTCTTCGCTCTTACGAAGACACGGTTATCTCACCACACCCAACAGCGAAGGTAAGTAGTCCCAATTTACACGAACGTTTAGAAACATTGTCGTACGACTGGAACGCCACACAGATTAGCAACTGTGAGAAACCCAGACATTTCGTATTACCCATAAAATGTGACAAGTAAAATACTTGCGATATCCAGATTTTCATTAACTGAAATGTCAACTGTTCCCTTTTCGATGCAGCACGATATCGTAGCTTGTTGTTGATGTTATAGTAATTGCCGCGCAGTCTTTCTTAATGCCCAAGGCTGCCGCTGCTATGGTTGTTGATTTTCCGTTTCATTCGCTTGTCGTTTTCTTTTTCTGCCAAAAAGCTAGCTATTATCAGCTATCTATCAGTAGCTTGATAGAAAATCAAGTGGATCTTGGACTCGTTATCGGTGAGTCTGGGTCTGGCGGCTAGCGTCGTTCAGGTAAGCTTATCTCCAACATACGCATGTGCACGTTTGCCGTCACTACGACCACCTTGAGTGGAGTACCTACGATTGCTAAGAGTGCTCAGTTCTAAGCAGAGGAACGACGTACATACATGAATGTAGCGGCAAAGAACATCGCTAGCAGCTATCAAACGTCATGACGAAAATTTCGATAACTCTAGCAGCGCCGCAACACCGATTGATGGACGTAAGTGGACGATTCACATTGACTTCTCTATAGTCTTTGTACGAGAGGATATAAGTTGTGCCCATATAATGTAGCTGCAGACTGTCGCTCTGTTCATTGAAAGCTCAAATCATCAAGGACACGCTGCTGCTCGATCCTAGCCCAGTCGATAGTTTGAGGCTGATTTATACATTGTCATTTGAAATTTCACGGTTTCTAGGACGTTCCACAGGAAAATTTATCAAAAACCGTGCAATACAGACAGTATCTGTTAATGCAACATTCACTCCAGTAAAATAAGAAGCAAATACTAACGACTTTTCCAAAAAGGCCATGCTTGTGTGTGAACCATCGTCACGTCACTGACCTGCTACATTGAGACGATTTTTAACGTTGGCTCGTCTGCACGGGTTAATGAAATACCTACTTGGCAAAATAAAATATTCTGGGTCGGAGTTGTTGCAATTTTTGATGGTTTGAGACAATCGTAGCGAAGGTTAACGGAGCGCGATTGTGCTGCTTGAAGCGAAACGTCACTACGTTAAAATTAATTAAGCTAGAAAAGGCACAATTTGTATCTGAACCCTTCGCGTAAAAAAAAAGGCTAAATTATAATGAATGCCCAGTCCCCGTATTCTAATTGCATATTACTATGAATATAGAATTTTGCTTCAGCTGCTGATGAGGACCTACGTGCCCGTATCACATCTAATTAATCCCTTTACACTAAAATTATCCATGTGATTCAATCAATAAGACTCAACGTTTTTCTCAAGCAGGTGTGACAATTTCACTGGAGAACGCCGCAGTTGCATCTCATAGTCCCGTCAGTTTTTGTCGTTGCTACAGCTCCCACTCTTCATCCGTTATCACAACAGACAAAAGTGGCATTGTCATTCTGAGCCAGGCCCTTGAGGCCTAATTAGTTTCGACAGCTGACACGTTCGATCGAAAGCGTTATTAATATATATATATATATATATATATATATATAATATATATATATATATATTAAAATAGAGACATTAATGAGCACGCTTTCTGTCGAAAGCGTGTTCATTAATGTCTCTTCGAATCCGTCGCAAGTACTTAAGTCGTATTAAATAAAATAATTGAAAATACTGTATTACGGTCGGTCGGTAATATCCATCTGGCAATAAAAGTAATTTTTGCTCTCAGTTTATTTGACTCAACCCATGTACATACGTTTATCCAGTAGTACCCTGTTTTAATGTAATTATTACTATGAATATATTAATGTACTCTACGTTTATGTAAATAAACTTGTAAAGTAGAACCTATCGTGTATTTTCAGAGACTTACCGAAATGTTTCTGTATTGTATAATGAGTCACCTGACAAACCCTCGTAGGCGAGGTGTGCATGTCGTTTTACATAATACACGACCCAAGCAATCTGATTATAGGCGATAAATACTGGAATACATGAGCACCCTTTACATAGATCACGAAAATTCGTCGACCGCGAGTATAAGCGGAAATGCGATGTAGTAACCATCCTCCAAAGTACCTAATGAGTGCTGGTCGGATTAAAAGAGTCAACATGATGCCTCCTAGGAAGAGTCGTCAGCGTCGCTCGTACGTTCTCCCTCACTATCCATAAAATCCATCGCTTCGGCCATGATAGTACTCGAAGGAATCAAGTCGAGGGCTTGATCAATATCGTACCTAACGATCTCATCCAGTGGTAGCCGTAAGTTGAGAATCTTGTCAATACAGCGGCGAATATCTTCAGCCTTTTTCCGGTCATCCTCGTCAATTCCCTTCGCCGCTCTTCTTCGAAACCATTTTTCTTGAATTTCGTGTAATTCCTCGCTGATCTTATACATTTGGGCAGCGACCACTTCGATCTCTCTGGCATTCTTCGGCCGTTGGGTTTGCCAGCATCTTCCTTCTCGAGTTATCTGTATGAGTCTTCTCGCCTCGTCATCTGTGTAACCGAACTCTAACAATAATTGAGCAATACAATCTAAAGCTAAAGTCGCACCTTGCCAGTCCCCCGTACCAGAGTGGCCTCCCTGGTATTTACAGCGCCGTTGTAAGCTTTCGCTGCAAACAAGCGTGACGATTAAACCATATGGATAGATTTGATTCGAGTTACCGACTACCGGATAACAATCAGTCATTTTTTTCTTATCCATTGCTAACTTAAAACTCTCTCGAGTGCTAGGAATACTCGATCAGTAGCAGAATTTTGCGCAAGTACTGGAATTGATCGTCATTCTATCGTAAATTCACGCACTTGTGCATATATATAATTTTCCATTGACGACAAATAACAGAAGGTTTTCAAACTAATGAGTTAAGCTTCTCATATGTTCGTCATGACTCGTTCAGTATTTATGTATTTACGCACCTCACATTTGCTAATTATGTGTGAAAGTCTATGCTTAGTACCGTTCAATTAAATCAATTTATCTGCAGCTGACACCCCATAGACTTCGTATTCAAAGCCGATCACTTATCTCAGAGAAAAAATGATGTGTTTTTTTTTTGAAAAGGCAAAAATTATTGATTAAAGCCAACAGCCTGATGCCGACACCTAAATATTATCATCAGTGATAAAAACATTGGTCAACTTTCCACAATGCTTCGTAGAGCACTCGATTTTACGTATTGCCCACTTGAATGTGGTTCTTATATTTTCTGCAGGCCATATACCGAGTGAAGTTTTCTCCGCTTCACGGTATTACTGTTCAGCATGTTAACGTCTCGTTGATTCTGTATTCTATTCGAAGAATTAGCGCTACGAATCAGCTCTGAGACAAAAGGGAAACCAATTTTATATTCTAAGCATCTCTCACGGCAACCCTTTTAGCTAGCCGGTAAGACAAAATACTTATAAACGTTTCGCACAAGCAAACATCGATGTTTTTATTGATCCTGCGATCGATCGTGTTTTTTGTCGTAGTACACAATATTCTACTACGGATCATAGAGGTATTATGAAGTGGCTGTATTGAAAAGTGTGTATTTAGGATGCTTTCAAGTGAATTATGTTCGATTCCATCTTTAGGGGGTCAGAACCCATTGCGAGCTATAACAGTATGTGGTATTTATCAGCTGTTCAATTGTGAGAGTTTGATACGGTCTATGTTGAAGGTGTATCATACAGACTTAGAACTTAAACCGTTAGCGATAGGTGAGCCGGCTTGATTCACCTCTAATCATGACATCAAAAGGTTGGTTCCCTATTAAGCCCATGTTTTATGAACCTCGCCAAAGACCTTTTATTTTTTCAGTTAGCTAAGCACTCTTCGCCCTATCCACTTTGCATTGAGATTTCCGACATGAACGTTCAGTTGCGAACTGCGGTCTTTCCAAGCGAACTATAGAAGCAGTCTGCAAACCTCTGAGATATCTATATTTTCTAGATGATTTCCTATGTTTATAAGGAGGCATTCTCTGTATATGTCTCATTCCCTATACTTCTTGCGATAAATCTGTTCAATCAACTGTGGCAACACATCTTTAGAGAACGAAAACCGTTGTGTAATACTTGTATGCAGTATAACATGTATGTATATATAATTAGCAGTTAGGGGCACGTTCGAGCAAAAATGCGTAACGAGATCATTCCTAGATTACAAGCAAATGTTTGCCCGTGTGTTGTAGATTTTTGTGAATAAGCTAAACGGCACTCTCTGTTTTGACGTTCTGTCAAACTAAAGTCCAGTCGCATCGATCAAAGCACCTCCCCCTAGGCAGTTACATCAATCGATCGGAGGGGCCCTTCGGGTTGCCCCAAATGATATTTCGTACGGTATTCTTGCACTCAATGAGCAGGACTGGGTGTGCCACATCTCATCGCCAACGCTATCGACGTTCACCACAAACAATGAATACGTGGCGCATCTGTCGTAAAGTATTGTGAAGCCGATTATGCTTGGTACGGCAGGCGGGGTATTGATATTAGCGAGCAAATATTCATGCCGAGCTTAAAACCACAAGAAGTGAATATTTCATTTAATCCAGACCTGCGTGTTAAGTGAAGCGTCACTATAAAGGGATTGCATCTAGGCAGCGTTTTAGCGCCTTCCATGAATTGCATGAAGGGTATATTAAATTTTCCCCTCACCGTGCCAACGTGACCAGATTGACGTGTAGAGCGTTTAAACAGAGAATGAAACGTGCAGCGTGTAACGTCTACCTAGATTTGCAATTTCATTCTAATTCTTTTATTTACAACTAAAACTTGATTATTAGCGGAATCAAAGGGTAAGTCTTAAATAAAACTAAGGAGTTGGGCTCGTTTCTGCTGACACGGGCTCAAAGTTTTCGCGGCTTGTATGTGGTAACGAAAATAATGGTTCTAGCTATCTATTACATGTATTTTCGTGCAATGTTTGGAGTTTTGCTTTGGATTTCTACCTGACAAATACCGTGAAAGCAAAAAGAATTCGTTTGCATAAAAAGTTATAAAAGTACTATAGGCTACCGACGCGTGCCCATCTTTCGCATTTTTTGTTTGTTTGTTACACGTGTAGTCTAGTAATGAAATTTGGTCATGCTTCGTTAGAAACAGCACGTGCATAATAATAGTAGAAAGCACTTTTTGGGTATATAAAACGTTCAACATAAAGATCAAATCATCCCGTAAATACATCTTAAACAATTCGAAGTACAGAGATACCGTCTACCATTATTAGTATACTGATGTACAGCATCGATACCTAGCGCCTGCAAACGTCACCGTTACGTATGGGTGCCTCACGATGATTTCGTGCATTTTGCTATCTACGCTGTGCACTTCTATGAGTGCGTACACATAGTCGTGAACGTGATCGGAGTCAGTGTCCGGTAAGAAATTGACGTTGGCACCCAGCATAGTGAAGGCACAAATCTGAGTGAGTGGCCCAGGCGTGGTGCTAACAATTAACGATGTTCGTTCTGATCCTGTTAGGGAATCGTTGGCGCATTCATGCACCACAGGTCAATATCTACGAAAACGGACTGAAACCAGGAACGTTCTGCAACGGAAACGAGGTGTGGGAAAGCTCGCCGTATGCTATTTAACCTAAGTTAAGCAAATGCAACGAACCGCCTACAGCTAAAAATTAAAAGCTAAAAATAAATATTGTTAAAATTCTACAATGAATAAACGAGGGCCAAGCAAAAGGTTCACGTCATAACGAAAAGCACCAATATTGCTGTGTAACGTAAAAAATAAAAATATTGCGCCAATTAGAATTGCTAAATGCGCTTCAACATAGGCTTTATATTACATGAATGTACGTATATTGTTTATGTAAAAACGTTTTTTTCGTGCGTCCGTCGCTATGATAAATCTTAACTATGAGTAATTGAATGATTGAAAATATTGCTATTGTTAAGTTCTGCATTGTGTAGCCATGATATAAGATAATAAAAAGATAGAAACAATGTTTTTTTTTGCTTACACTCGTTACGACTTTTTATTGGCAAATTATTCCGGCTAAAGAAAACTAGCGTTGGCCTATAGGTGCCATTTGTCGTCCTAACTGTACACCGCAGTGCCACTCGTAGAGCCTAGAGCAACTAGGTAACTCCGAATATTGATCAAGTGGATTTTTCATTACACGACATCTTTATCCATTGATATTAGAGTAGCTAATATCTATGCACGTCTCGTTTCCGTTAGCTGTTTATACTTAAATGGTTTATATATATACTTTTTTCTTAGATCGCAGATACGAAGTTGCGATTTATCTGCAAAATTTTCGAATCCGCTTTCATAGTACTCTGATTTCTAACTGGATCCAGTGATCGAGAGGAACGACGGAGAAAATGCTAGCTAAATATAATAGAGCCCTGAATTAGAACATGATATAATATGAAATTCACATATACGCACCGTTGTAATCGTTGCTGGAGGAAAGCTAATAAAGTGATTGCGTCAAAAGGTACGCTTTGCCAGCTGATTAATATGGACGACTTCTTTCCCGCATAAAAAATCAGGGTACACAAGAATTAAACATTTTTATCACTGATCAGCTGATTGCCAACCAGATAAAAATGGTGTCGGAGCAGTAAAAAATTTGTCAACTATAAAGATTAGAAACATAGATAAACAAAAATGGCCATCACATACGCTGTATAATATTGCAAACCTATCGATTACCATAATGAATGACAGAAAATGTATTCCCTTCTAATCTTATACGAATGAAGAGCAATTGTTCCCACCTGAAGTCCGTCTGTTTCATACGGTGTCTCCAATCATCGTTTGTGCGTGTACGTTGGTACAGGACAAGACAGATATTAGCGAACATCATGACAGAAAAAGAAGGAGTTTTTCAGTTCTAATACATATGTGCCTCGGAAATGCGCAACAAAGTCACACATTTTTATGAAGATGCTTGACTTCGCCGCTTACATGGTACCCGCATGTACTGCCAGCATAGGTCAAGCGTGGTTAGTTTCATTCATGGACAGATGAGGGTCGAACGCATCTTCAAGTTCAACAATGAACGAGAAAAACCGCACTTGAAAACAACTTCCGTTACTGCTTTCTCTATGCTCATTTTCGTTCTAGCTATCGAAAATGATGCTCGCTTGTTTTTTCATGCACAATATCTCTTGTGGTAATTTATTGTAATTTAAACGTTCTTGCAGGACTGGATCAAGGCCAGCTGACCCGATGATCTCGCTATAATTTGTTTTTTCTAGAATGAGTTATACTATAATATTCGCTTTTACTCTATTGAAGCGTATTTCTCGTCTCCAGTCGAAACACACTGTCTCTTCAATAACAAGATCTCGTAACCCATACATGTCCTCGTTCGCTATAATTCACTGATAACAAGAAATCAATGACTGAGCTGAAAGGAAAAAGTATTCCTAGCAGCTGTCGTGTGTGTATGTAAAAATAACGCTAAGCAATCATGCCACGGTCAGAATCGATCCAGAAACGTTGATATTAATAGGGCAAAATCAATCCAAGCTTAATTAGTAGCGACGGGATATGTCCATCTATCTGTTATTATTATTCTGTACGAGGTAAAGTTCGCGTTCTTTTATCTCGGATTCATTCTGTATATACGAGCACGAAAATGTCTTAAGGCTTATAAAGCAATTCCATATCGTTTTCACATGCGGTGTTTTTCGAAACGATATCGAAGCAATGTTGTACGTCAAAATACATTACAGGTACCCGTGGTAGCGGCAAAGCGAAAAATTTAACTGAAGACAACGAAAAACATAGCCGACGCGCATACGAAACAGATCCAGATGAAAAGCAAAATTGTTGCCGAACGTCTTCCGTAGGACAACTCGTAAACATCAGCGAGCAGGATTGCACGCATACGCCCACAAAGTTTTCTTTTATCTCTATGCCCTTCAGATGTACAAGTAAATCTGCAAGGCCAAAACGTTTTGAATACTACGATGAGATGAGAGCGATAATGTCGTACGTTGGCAGCAGTAGTACCGCTGCTGCCGATGATGATTATAATTGTCATGGCACCGCTCATGTAGTTGTCATCGGCGTCCTGCTGGCAATGACTTCGTTGGCTTTTTTTCCACAGCGCTTCGTTGTGGACGGAGGAAGTGGAAGGGAAAAAGCGCGGGAGAAACATGGAGCATCGTCATAGCATGTTAAATTGTTCTTCATATCTTCTTTTCTTCCTGGTGTACTCATTGATCTCTGCTCGTTTGGAATTCATATATGATGCTGTGACAACGAGCAAATGACGGACCCCGAATAACGCTTAAGTAATAGGGAGAGTGTTCACCTTAGCGCAACGGCTGTTGTTTGTTACTTCCATTTCGGCGAGAGTCTGCCACGAACACTCCATTTCAACATTTACCAATCTTAGAGAGAGCATCGATGTACAATTGTCGCCAGTTCTGGTCTTGAATCTTTGCGCGATGCTTTCGTATGGTATGCGTAAGACACATATTATTGGAGGCTAGTGCTACAAGCTGACGCTGTACCAGAATATCTATGTATTTATTTATTGAAACCAGCTTATGATATACTTAGATATTTCCGTGTTGCTATGAAAGGTCTATGATGTTTTCATATCTGGATTTATGCCTGTGCATAGAAGTGATCTGAATATTGTTACGTTTATAAATAACATCAGAATAGATGATAATCGTGGAGTACGATAACGAGATACTATTACGATACAGGGCAATAGCACGACCACCCATCGTTTATGGCCACTTGTTTACAGACATCTGTATAAAGAACTCAATAACGCTAGATAAGAATAGATTATTATGGAAAATGTATGATGATTGTCAATGAAGCTTGCTACATCGACTGACAGCCATTTGCTACAAGTGCTCGTAACGATGCCTAGATGTAGCTTTATGATAGTTATTATTAATATTATTATTTTTAATAATGGCCACCAAACTTCAGTCTCCTGACACGCTCAACGTAGAGCAAATTACCGGCTAGTTTCTCTCTATGCCAAACCCCAATAATGTCAAAACGATTGTGCAATGGGTATCACTTTCTTCTGGGCTCGTTAAATAGTCCGTTTTAAGTACAACGGTCAGCAGATTACTTCTGTTGTTTTGGCGGCTGCTGCTGCTGCTGCTGCTGCTGCTGCTGCTACTACTGCTACTGCTATGTCTATCAGCACTATTATTGCTGACCGGACCGGTATTAGGTGGCGTCCTGCTTTATACGATACGAGATCCACTGCTTGGCGGTCGATGGGCTCCGTTTTCTCATGCTTCTGGGTTTGAGCTATCGCCTGTAGTAGTAATGGCAACCGCTAAACAAGACCTCTACCCAAGCATCCAGTAAGCTGACTGAATCGCACCACTACCACTAGCATTCGGAGATAACGGCAGACAGCGTAAACAGCATAAATTCTTTGCACTGTCCAAACATTTCCTCTAGCCCTCATTTCTTTTCTTGTTACTGCTTGCTTTTTCTTGTCGGCCAGCCGGCGTAGCCATGGCAGTATGTAAGGTTAGTAAAGCTTCGATACCGTCGAAATTGCATGCGATACTCTCTCAGAGACTAGATACTAACGTCAACGTGTATAAATATGCACAATATGGCCGCAATATAGTGGCAATGTGTATACACAAAGTGCAGAATCTTGACTTGCTCTACACAGATGGGCCGCTGACCATTCAGTCGTTGGAACTGATGAAAAGTAACTACACTATCTGGTAATCGAGTCGACTAGATAATGTGTTTACAGCTAGATCTGAGTCGATTCGAGGAAAGCCTTAGAGCCGACAGAATTCAGGACGCAGACAAAAAAAATGAGCCTATGGCTATGCGGAGCAAAGAACTAAGTTCACGCTAACCGACAGATCTAGGGTTCGCTCGTCTACAAACAGCCTATCAGAGTAAAGAAGAAGACTATATACTTCCCGGTATTGTTTATTTGCTTCGTGCCCTCTTTCACCAATAAAAAATGGATAACTAGCATTTAATTATATGCAAAATAACTAGAACGATAGAATAATACAACTGTGTTGTTTAAAAACGCACACTTAACACTTGCGGAAATATTTAGCGTCTAGAAAATTCTGCCAAACGTGCACAATGTTCACGTATTAAATAGATCTCGATATTTTAAAACACGTTAGAAATCACGAGTATAGTGCTGCCCTAAATATAGTGCTGAAATATAAATATATGAATACATTCAGCAATAGGATCTTTTGACAGCCAAGATGCTTATTGTGAATTGTATATATGAGCGCTTTGTGGGACTCGGCAATGAACTTCACTGAACTTCGTCTTTACGAAACCCGTAAATAAAGAGCTCGTATCTTTTGAAGGTCGAGATGTTTGTGTCCTATATATCGCATCGGATTCTCCTTCTACTATTGCATCGCCAAAATCGATCTCCAGCAAACGCTCTCTCTCTATCTCTTCCTAGCTATCTGACGAGACATTATGAAGTTGTCGTGTGTGCGCGCAATCCAAGAATTTAAACGCTCGGACCACTCTACGAAAGCGTCTCCTGCAAATCAGAAAGCTTCCCCTGACCAGAACGGAGATCCAAGTCAATCTCCAGCGAACAATTCAGTGAGAGTGTTACTCAACTCTGGGGAGGTCTTTGTATGAAGAGAAAAGAACATTACTGATCGCATCTAGCGCGGTCGCGGTGGTCTAAATGGTGCTCTATCTAGAAGTACCAAAGGGGTGTGGGGGAGGAACAGCCGAGAATTCTACACAGAACTCAAGCTCAGTGGATGCTCATGGCGTCCTATTGAGACTGAGCGATGAATTTCTCTGGCGAGCGATATTCGATGCTTGTGCTATAATTGTATGCAGTTTGGTATGACATATAATGCTGTAGATGACATATAATGCATAGATGATCTCTAAACAGATATGATACGTTTGATCCGAATAAAAAACAAAACAAACGGTTCTGAACTCTCTCTCCGTTTCATCGATTTGCTTTCGTC